GGCCATTGCCTTTATGTCTAAAGTGGAAGCACCAGTGATGGATCTCCGGCCACTACTCTACTGTAGGTATATAGATGACTGTTTGGTTATCTGTTCCACTTAAGAGGAGCTAGATAATTGTTTTAGATTGCTGAATGAACAGTCAGAGTATATAACATTCACTCGTGAGATATCAAAAGATGATTGGCTCCCTTTCTTGAACGTGCAAATAAGCCTAAGCGAGAGCGTTTGCATAACAAAGTGGTACCGAAAGCCAAGTAATGAGAATATCCTGGTTCACTACCTCTCTTCTCATCCCTCACATACGAAAAAGGCGTTAGTTAAAAACATGTTTCGAACAGCAGCCAGCGTATGTACCGGGGAGGAGCAGAGAGTAGAATCCGTGAAACTGGCTCGGCAAAAAGCCACTTCTAACGGATACTGATTTGTAGCCCCTCGGCTTAGGTTTAGGAAAATAGTACGCCTCCGCGCGAAAACTCGAATGAAAGGAAAATTCCGTTCATCCTCCCGTTCTTTTCAAACGAGATTAGTACAGCTAAAAAACCCTGTTTGAAAAGGGTGGGTTTAGAGCATTCTGTGGCTCTTATTGAAATACCACCGAATACTCTAAAACGCCAACTGGTTCGCAACCGCTTATATGACCGTCTCTGTATAAGGGAAGATTGTAAAATATGTCCTAACGGCAGAGACGGTGATTGCATGAGCGTAGGTACAGTCTACCTAATCTCTTGCAAAGCGTGTAGCAATGAATATATTGGCGAAACGGGTAGGCCGCTCTATGCCCGCAAAGAAGAACCCTTAGTTGAGAAACGCCTTAATAGACAGAATACCCCGCTAATGATGCATAGAGAACAGAAACACGACGAGATGATTTTGAGATCGAAGTCACCATCCTTGCGCAGCAACAAGAAACATCAGCGCGAAAGATCTTAGAAGCGTTTTGGATTGATACGACCAATCCAACCATAAACCGCAGGGAGGAATGCCTCGTTATCAGATGCAAGTTAGTATATAAGACTGTTGTTTTGATGGATAGGGTGCATTACGAGCCCATGTGATTTCCTTCCGGTGATCTCCACTTGAATCACTCAGTGGAACACATATAAAAGCGCTGGGTATGTTGAGAGTTGATTTTGTGCTTGATGCGATTCAAATCTGGATCTGGTGATTTTTTTTCTAAAGGAGTAATGGAGGTGTTTGACTGATTGGATTGCGGACAATTTGACCTTTGCAGGCTCTAAAGAAGGCGAACCGTCAAAATATCAGCTGTCAAATAAAGTTCATTGTAACACCCCGTGTTTGCCTTTAGGAAGTAAATCAGGAATTGTATTGAAGCATGCCGAGGTTAATAGACAGTCGGTCTTGGCAATTCAAAAGGCCAAGAAATATGTAGATATTTTACGATTTCTGATAATGATTTTTTTAGTCATGCATGTGATCTGATATAGGGCAACTTATAGCGCTCAATAAACGTGTTTCGACCTTACCAGTCTCGTCAGTCGAGCGGTACCCTTCGCCTTTAACCAGTCTTCTCGAGGGAACTTAGCCCCATACTAAGAGTAGGCGACGATCTTACATCTTACAAGATTCAATAGGTGAAATCTTTACTGAATGAAAAGTGTTGTACACTCGATTACTCATGGCTGATTTCTTTCAATATATCATGAATTTCGTTTCGAGAGTTTTCTTAAGCCGCGCTCAGATTTCAATATGCCTGATAGTGTCTTTTCTAAGCCACCCATGTGGCTTGTTATAGAGCCACTTATCGAGTCCGATGCACGTGTTTCGACCTTAACAGTCTCGTCAGTCGGCCGGTACGCTCCGTCTTTAACCAATCCTCTCGGTTAAAGTTGACCCAATCAATCCGTTTTTGACATTCGTTTCAAGTGTTTCTTGACATTGTCGCTAGTGCCTCTTGCTGGCCGGTCTGGTTTATGTTCGAAATACTCTCTCTCCCACTCTCTCTCTCTCTTTCTCTTTCTCTTTCTCTCTCTCTCTCTCTCTCTCTTCCTTTCTTCCTTCTCTTTGAATCTTTGAAGATGTCGTAAAAATTAGGAAGTTCCATAGGCTCTGGCAGTAGAGCAAATTTATTAACCAAAAATATTCAAAATTGCATCATTTTGGCATCGTTCTATTACGCCTTTATTTTCGAAGATTTCAGTATACAATTTGTCTATACTTGCTATAATACGGAGCCGTCTTGGACACAAATTCGCTGTTTCTCATGAACGAATGGCACGAGAGGAAAATGCTAGTGAAGCGGTGCGCAAGATCAATGGAGCTTGGGGCGATGTTACGATTGCAGGAAGGACGGCTGAGAAGTGGTTCACGAAGTTCAAAACTGGAGGAATTAGTCTGGAGGATCAGTCGCGCTCGAGTCGTCCGCAGAAGCTTCACTGATCTTGCGCACCGCTTCAATACTATTTCCACCTACGCTTCTTATTTGAAGCATTTACCAACGCTAACCACTTTACTTTACCTTTAGACACCTCAATGACTCGTCTTTCCAGTGTTTTTCTTTCACTTGCAAAAATACTGGTTGAGCGAGTCTCCCTGCAATCTCGAGGATTAGCTTGACTATGGCGTTTTGTAAGGCGTTGTTGCTGACTGTCGGAAAGCGTTGGGGTTGGAGCTCGACTCCACAATCTCCGCGGTGAGCATCAAAACCACTCGGCCACAACGTCTTTTAGCGCTAACCGATCCACACCATTCTCGATGTGCTAGAAGAAAATGCCAACCTCGGTATCTCGAAGTCTAAAAAATAAGCTCAACCGTTGGAGCATTCACCAGCTCCCATGATGCCAACTCCAGCCACGTTCATGAGGTAACCTAACACTACTAAATCACTAGGCTCTACTCCAGGATATAGGACGATTAGGTCATTAGGCGAGTGTTGACCGATTCTTATCGGCACTTCCGGTAACAGTCAGTCCCATACAGTACACGAATTAACACTAGTTGACATATTCGCGAACAAATTTCAAATCCCGACCGTCATGAAACCTCAGCCCTGAGCGCCCCGAGAAAGGTGTGCTACAAGTCTAAGTCCCATTCGAGGTTTAAAGTTTTCCATCCCCCCAAATCATTAGATTATGATCAGTACTCTGTGGGTTCGAATTCCACCTGACGCAAATGTATTTGCACATCACCCTACATCACTGGGTTTATCATAACATCATACGACCGCTAAAATGAAGAAGAATGATGTTTAGTCAGTATCTCATTTTTATTGACGAGAGGCTCTATTATGTTTTTGCGAATGTTCTAACTCGTCATTACATGTTCTTTGGAGAAGCTTTTGCTGGCTTTGATACAGATATGATTCGTGAAAAAGAGCTCCCAAACGCGCATCTGTAGTTGGAGGAAGACGGGTTGTTACGAGAGAGCCGACATTACCTGTCGTTCATGAAGTGTCGACGGAGTCAGTTCTAAGATGGGAATAAGAATAAGAGAGAGTGTGCAAAGATGGTAGCTTCTAGGTCATAATCTAGTCCGTCATGCCTCGCTGCTCCATATGTCCCTAGCGGGATATTTCGTCTAATAAAACGCTTGTCAGCTAGGTGTTCTTCTATGCGAGCATAGAGCGGCCTATACGTTTCGTCAATATATTTATCGCTGCACGCTTTGCTAGGTTATTTTAGTTCGGCCGATGCACCACTATCCAGTTTCAGTGATAGTTGAGTCGTTGCTTGTATACTTTGCGACAGAATACTGCTCTTTGACTCGTCTTCATTTGTCCTGCCACGCGTATTTTTGGGATAGGATTTATCCTTATAATGAACAACCTAAATACATCAAAAAATGCACACACATATGTACAACAACCATCATGAGCACTGGCGATACGAAGTTAATCATAAAAGGGAGCGATAAAGTTGATGCCAAGAACAAGTGAGTGACGAAGTTGAAAATGAGTGATTGATTTTAGATACACGATAGGAAGATATAATTGATATCTGATGTCTTGACACCTAGTTAATATTATCGACAGATGAGTGGAAGGAGATAAAGAGAACGAGCAAGCAATGAGATCGTAAAGAGTAATGAAGTGCCATTGTGGGCGTGATTCTCCACCATCGCCATCTTCCTTGACCGCTGAGCAACCACGTCGTCGACAGGTGTCCGCCATCGGCAATGCCCCGACTACATCGCGATCTCGGGCCGATAAACACGCTAATTACGTCGCCTTCTGATTAGTTGAGGCAGTTTTTCCTTTCATTATTATTTGAGTCAACATGTCATGTGGTCTGGTAAGGGCTCTTGCACAGCCCGAGACACGTGTTTCGTCCTTACAGACTCATCAGCCCCTTTCGTCCTTACAGACTTGAGGCAGTGTTCACAGGATACAACGTTTACTTATTCGACAAATTTATCTTATATTTTCATCCTTTACATAGTGTTGTATTATCTATAGTATGTATATGTACGACGCAAAAGGAAATAGCAGTTGTTTGGCGGAGCAACTGCTATATAGGTAAACTGTTCCTGAGCTCATGCAATCATCGTCTCTACCATTAGGATATATTTTGCAATATTTCATTATACAGAGACGATCATATAAGCGGTTGCGAACTAATTGACGCCTTACAATATTCAATGGTATTTCGACGATCATTACCGATTGCCCTGAACACTTCTCAAATTCCAACCGTCGAGAAATCTCGGCTCGGGAGGGATAGGTGTGGTGCGAGTCCAAATCCCATCCGACGTTCAAAGTTTTGCATCCCCTCAAATCCTTAGATTTATAATCAGTATTCTGTGGGTTCAAGTCTCAACTAACGCAAAAGTTTTTGCACATCACTGGGTATATTATAAAATCATACCACCACTAAAGGTGGTCAGTTGAAAATAATCATGTTTGATCATCAATACCCAACATCTGTCAGCATCAGTGGGTTAAGTATCGTTAGTGATCACCCACGCCAGAGCGTTGACAGTTGGTCGCTGACCGATAGATGCGTTGTAGCGGTTGTAGCGTACAAAGAGTAGTGTCAAAACGGGCGTCGGTGGTGCAACGGTTCAGCACTCGCCCTCGTATAGGGTGAAATTTGGGTTCGAGCCCCACCTGACGCAAAAGGTTTTGCATATCGTTCTACATCACTGGGTAAATAGTAGTTATCAAAAGGAGTAACTGCTATTTTTATCTCTTATGCTCTTGACTATCAATGTATCTACTTATAGATAACCACTATCGTTATTCATTTCGCAGTGGTTCGTACCAGCCGGGTAGTCATCCTTACACGCATTCGCGCAGCAATAGCCAAGTTCTGTTTCAAACACCAGCAGGCCGTTTGTCCGAGCAACACAAAGACTCGTACCTTTCAATTAGTAACGAAGAAATATTTCCCATGGAATTTGGGCAGTGCTGTGCTTCACAGTTATTCACAGTCCAAACCGAAACAGAACTACAGACGCTATTTGGAGAACGGCTGCGACTTCCACCTCTCTTGGCTTCAGATTATCCTGGTCATAGCGTATAGTCGCTGTTCCTTACAATGTGTAGCTTCTCTCTTTAATGTAGAGATTTGGGGATTGGGGCACCCTACACTTAGGTTCAGATCTATTGCATTCATGAAGTGTTAATATTGCGTTAAATGTCGTGATTGTTGTTTCTTCAATTGCAGTTATGGTCTAGTTGTTATATGTTATAGGTTATTCGTCACGGCGATGAATATGATTTGTTGGTCTCAGGATCAACACTTTTCGGCATCAAATAATTAGTAAGAACCCGAGTCGCAGGAATAATTAATGCAGTCGAGTGACCCATGCGGCACACAACACACATCCACTCACAGTAGGCACCAAAGCCTAACTACTCTAGTATAATCGCCAATAAAACCAAACCAGTCCTAATCACCTCCACTGAAAAGCCAATACATTCGGTGCGTGGCCGAACTTTGGTCGATCGCGGATTACCATTGGGTCTGCTGCATTGGACAAACTACGTCGGCCAATTATCACAATCCTGGTGCCGGCTATACTGCGTCCAAACGATGCATCCAAGCCCTATGGGGGCATCGAAAGCAAGATTTGGGCGGGGCAGCACGTAAGACCCCCCCCCTCCATATTGCACGCAACGGCCCAACGAGGCCTACTAACGAAGTATCCGAGGCATAAGATTAGACCTCACCAGTATTTAGCCGCATCAGCCGAAGAAAACAGCCGCAGCAACCAATCAGTGCGACAACACAACCCTAAGTAACCGAACGGCAGGTCCAGTGTAATGTTCATTTTCGTTTTTTAACATTTTGTTCATCACTTCTTCAGCCCCTTGAGGACCACTGTTGACCGGCAGGCAGCAATCGCAGGCAGGCAGCACTGCATACTTGGCTGTCTGCCTGCTTTCTCACGAGATGCGACGCCGGTATTAAAGTAGCTCAGGAAGAGATGATGCCGCACGGCTTGATATGAAACGTTTCATATGGTCCTCAAGGTGTTAAGATGTTAATTAGTCAAGCAATTGGTTTACATGCTATGAGAAACTTATTTTTCGGTGGTATACCGAGGCAACGTAATCGCTCAAATACTGGCACTCGAACAAAAAAGCTTCGTTATCGTACGGAAGCTCAAGCACTGCGAGAGATCCGACGATACCAACACTCTACAGAGCTTGTAGTCTCAAGGTACTGCTGTTATTTGATGTTTGTTTACTGATGCATTGAACATGAATGTTCCAGAAACCAATGCAACGTGTCGTTCGAGAAGTGATGGCGGAACTATATGAGGAGTACCGATTTACGGCAGATGCTTCAATGCCCTTCACGTGATGTGTTCTTGGGGAATTTAGTCATATATCAGACCGAGAAATGATTGTCGCCTCCTTATCAGTGACACTTCTCTTCCCATTCGTCATATTACTGTAACCGTTTGACCATCGTTGGTTTGAGTATTTGATAACTTGTCGCTCATTTCATGTCCTCATCTTGTTTTCTGCATCAATGTTGCTTACAAACAGATGCCTATGTAAAGCACTGACATGGAGTGCTCGCATAATATGCATATACTCTTGAAGAACTGCCTTCAAACTCGTATAATCAGTGTTCTTTGTTATCACAGTCATCATCTATAAGTGATATCAAGCTTTTGGTGCTTGCAGATTAGTAAAGCATTTCTTGTCCGCGTTTTCACTGAAGCATCCACGTGCGCTTCTCACGCGAGGCGAGTAACTTCGATGCCAAGGGATATTCATCTCGTCTGGATGTTACAAAATTGCTAAACAAACAACGATTATGTGCTCTCAATTAGAACTTTATCTCTGTAACGAAGCAAGTCATGAATAAATTGTTTAGTTCCCAATCAAAGTCACCAATTTACTAATACTCAGCTCTGTGTTTTTTTTTGAAGTAATATGGAGCTATTTTTAATCATATCATGACTTTTTAATAATAAAGTTTTTATCCAAATTACCAGGTTCTTTAAAGATACGAAATGATAAAGTGATTGTGGTTTATGGGTTTGTTTGTTTTATGGGAAGTGGCTTGTTCCCAAAGCGTAGTTTACTGACTGATTATGCTTTCGTTTCGAGGTTTTTTAAAACCACTACTCAAATTTCAATATGGCTGATAATCATTATTTGAGCCACGCATGTCAGTGGTCTGTCAATGATGGCTGACTTATATCTCTATAAGTCTATCGGGCTCTATAAGTCAGCCCTCATTGACAGACCACTGACATGCGTGGCTCAAATAATGATTATCAGGGATATTGATTATGCTTTGTTGTTGATTTTCTCTCCGTTCTCTTTTTTGAAATAACTTTTTGTGCAATCAAGCATTCACTATTTAGATCTGACAGGCTAAGAATTGATTCAAGTAGTACTATAAATCAATGACATCTTCATTTCTAAAGCGAAATCCATGCCGATATCAACTGTAGAATTAAGAAGTGGGTTAGCAGCGAAATTTTATTTTGCTGCTAACATCAGTTCTGTGAATACTATTATCTTCTATCGATTCATTTCATCTATCATTCACGAAGGTTTTTGAGCTTGAATTCTGCTCCTGCATGAGGATTTGTGATCCTCGAAATGTCGCTAAATTCTGGTCGACCGCTCCCTGAAATCCTGCATAGCATTCTCAGATCTTTTTCATTGCTAATCGCCAGCTTTCACATTGGAGGAAACAAGCTGGTTCTGAACAAATATGGTACCAGCCTTCCTACTTGGAGGGACTGGAAGCTCTGAAGACTCAGGCGACCTCTAGATCAGACCTTGCTATTCATGAACCAGTATCATCAACACTTCTCTTCCTACCCCTGCAATCATATCATCCATTACGCGTTTTGAGTATTTTCTTATTTACGAAAATACGAACGATACAAATATATTAGTGGAATCGTCTTTATCTGTTGCAGTCAAAAAGAGATAATGTTCAGTTCAAGATTCTTTCAAGAAAAGCACATGGTAAACACAGTGGATAACAGTGCAGTGCAACGCGCTTATTGTCGCTATTTTTCCATAGTTTCAAATGCACTAAATTCGGCGTGACTGCGTGGTCAACAAGTTGATGCTGAACTTGTTAAATAGACTTTTTATATAGCCTTTCACGGGATTTGGTATTGCATCTTAGCGATATACGAACGTTTCGACAGCTTTACCATTCTCATTAAATCGCACACCCCATAATCAAGAAAAGCAGAGGGGAAAGATGCCACAGTGCCTGTCAAGTGAATTATCACGTGTTGCATCATCTTTTCTTCAGCCGGTGTTTTGCGGCTGTTATCATAAAAGCATAGTCTTTTATTCGACCGACTGTTTAGGACCTCGAAAGCTTCAATATATTTAATTTCACAGACTTTTTATTTAGTCTTTCAAGATGTTTGGTATTGCTATTTTGATAAATAGACGGTGTAACACGTGATAATTCATTTTAAACTCACTGAGGCATGTTCCCCCTCTTTTATTGTCAGTGTGGGGAGTGCGATACTGAAGTAATAGGTGAAACCGTCAAAACGTGAGCACATCGCCAAGATGCAATACCAAACCTCGTCTAGGGCTAAATGTAATGTTTGTGGAGTCATATATATCAAGGTTCTCAAGGCTTTACATGACCAGTCGAATAAAAAATCTGAATTGTTTCTTATAAATTCTTATATTTGACCAAGAAATTTGGAAAACGTCTGTAGTAATAATTGGCCTGCGTTTTATTGAGCTAAGGTGACTTACCAATTTCGTTTATATAATTGTCTCCTTATGCTTCACAAGAGAATGAGTAAACTGCACCCATACACATGCAATCAGCGTCTCTACAACTCTGTATCCGTATAAAAGAACATCTATTCGGTAGACCTAAAGCTAAATCAAATACCGTGCTATGTCCGCATGGGACTCAGACATTGGAGACGTAGAGGTCATTACCGTCGCATAAGCACAGGAGACAGCACGCAAAATTTTGGAAGGATTTTCAATAAACTGCGTGAATCCAAACATGAACAACAAAGAGCCTTGTTACCACGCGTGATATGACAGAGCATCTAAGTGTTATTTTGATGTGAACTATGCACGGTTGGTTTTCACTAGGACATCAGTAAAAAACTCATAAAAAGTATCGGTTGTGTAGAAAAGTTCTTCTGCTTCTAATGAGATTGAAATCTAGGTCTAGTTGTTTTTCCAATAAAATATGGAGGTATTTGGCCAACTACATCGCACGCAGCCTAATTTTTTTCAGGCTCTAAAGAATTCGTCCATCAATACATTAGCTGTGTAAATGAGCTGTATCACAACAACTTCGTGATTGCCCTACACAGAAAACTGTGAACTAATTTTTCTTTTGGCGCGAAGCATGAGTCACAATCTCAGTAGAAGTTTTTTCCAAATTACACATGGAAGATGGTTTATCAGTAGCAAATGCCTTAACACATCTGCTAAGATGAACTAGCAGCATGATTTGAAAGATCTTGCAATGTCGTTGGTGCGACTCATGTTGGCCACTGTACACTGACACATACTATGAGACTTATGTCGCCACGCGCAAATTAACGACAATCAACAATAACCATTTCTCACAGTATAAATCACCATAGCCCACGACTTTCTGCCATCGTTCCGCAGTAGTCCAGATCTGCTCAAAATATCA